GTCCGTCCGTCCCTCTGTCTGTCCGGCAGCAGCCGCCGCTGGGTCTGGCTGGAGCAAGGCGAAAACTGCAGACTTGGCATCAAATAAAGCACACATATTGTGAGACTGAGCATGAGAGGCACACAGAGAAGGGAAGAAAGCGGGGGGTGGGGAGTGTATAGGACATGGGTAGAGACGACAAGATTCCACTGAAAAATGCAGTCAGCTCGAAAAACAGAGGAAACTAAATAAATAAATATTACGATGCGTTACAGGGTATACAAAGCGTGCATGACTAAGAGAATTTTAATTAAATGACCGACTAGCGAATACCCCAAGTTGAGCTTATTTAGTTATATACAAGTTATATATGTATAATTATATGCCCTCAGTCCGTTGCACAGCATGTACATCAAAATCATCATACCCTTCTCATACTCAACTCAGCAAAGGGCCCAACCAAATAGAATCTTTTTGTTGGGACGTTTGACTATGTAGCCAATCCATTCCGCATCCGTTTGCCATTGTCGCCATCATCTTTGTTTTCATAGCTGTGTCGCTGTGTGTGAATGCGCCCAACCACAGCTGGCTGGGGGCGTGGGAGCTGTCGACAAGTGCTGACGCTTCGAATTCTAGCTTTAAACTGAATACAAAATTCAGCGATTTGGCTTATGTGCAGAACTCTAAGTGGTTTCATTGCGCCGCAAGCGCAAGAGTGTGAAATAAAATAACAAAGAGTTATTGAATGAGACCGAGAGCAAAAATCACTCGCAACTCAATTGTGAACAGCAGTGTGCGGGGGGTGGAGAGGTGGGAGGGAGAGGGGTAGTACAAACTGGGTTTTAAATTTCAGCCAGAGTAACGGGCAACCAGCTGGCTGACCCGCTTTAAAGCCAAACAAATGCAAATATCAAAGACGAGTCCGATGCATTGGCAGCCGGCATGCAAAACAAGCATTGTTGTTGTTGTTGTTGTTGCAGTTGTTTCCTGTCGTGCTGCGCCTGCTGGGAGAGCGTGTGTGTGTGCGGCTGACCAAACAAAAGTCTTGGCAGGCCCGCACGTCAGCCAGACAGAGTCAGTCAAAAAGCCAAAAAGCGCAACGAAATTGAAATCAATGCATGCCCAGCTGCACACGGCTGGCCTTCACGCCACTCCCCCACAGCCTACCCGGCGCTCCCCTTGTGGCCATCTCGGCAAACAGCTGCAACAGCAGCCGACTCATGTTTATGGCACATTTTGCAATTTTGCGGCTTTCATTTACAAAATTAGTTAGATTGGCATTGTGGCATGTCCAGGCAGAGAGAGAGAGAGATAGGGAGAGGGAGAGGGGAGGTGTCATGAGCGGATGGAGCATTATCCATTGTGGCAGTGTGAAAAATCAAGTCTATGCGGAAAAGCGCAGAAACAACAAATCAATCGATCAAAAGCAGAGAGAGAGGAGGAGAAAAAAAGAAATAGAAATGAAAATTTCAAGTCAAATTTGTTGGCAACAGTTGGATAAATGTTTAGCATACCTAGTTGAAAGGCAACGAATTGAGGAAAGTGAATTGGAATTGATAGGCATAGCAAAGAGCATTGCGGCTGAGAGTGGGCCGAGAATAAACAGAAGCCACAGCCACAAATGGAAGAGCTTAAAGAGCTATAAGCAAGGAATAAACAGAATGCCATATTCGTAATATGCTCTGCTGGAAGTTGGACTCACGGGGCAGAGTGAAATGTAATTAAGCAGAATGCGTTTTCAGGAACAGCTGAAACAGTTTAAAGAAAACTTTTCATGTTGCTAAATCATTTAATTTGTAAGTTGGCAAATCGCTTCAACATCTTAATTGGCAGCAGCAGCAAAAAAACCAGAAATGACTCGAAGAGAACTTTTGCAAATGCCATTGCAGTTAAGTTTTCCACAGAGACAGAGACAGGGAGAGAGGAGGGGAAGGCATTTGAAAACTGTTTGCCAAGAAAAAAGATGGCGTAATTGAAACTTAATGAGCAGAGACAGCAACCGCAGCAGCCACATGCATATTTGAGGCGCAAAGTCACGCCGAGCTGCTGTAACTGAAGATACTCTGCGTATCTTGAAGATGCAAAACGTGCAAGTGCCTGAGCGTGGCTGAGATATGGCCAGTCGTTTGCCTAGATACAAGATACATATTTTATTATATTATTATTATATTTTATATATGCATTTGTACATCTACAAAATACCAGTTAACAGATACAAGATACTTTTGTTATGCAACAACTCAGTCTAAACAATGGCCATTTATTTAACCGAGTTTTTGTTTTTCCATTTCGCCTTTCAGATGCGCTCAGCTTTGGCCAGGTGAACGTGGAGCCCAACACAGCGCTGCTCAACGAGGGCGATCGCACCGAGCTGCTCTGCCGCTATGGACGCGCCATCAACTACTGCCGCATCGAGATACCCGGCGAGCAGAAGGTGCTCAATTTGTCGCCCAACTGGAGCAAGACGCCCGGATTCACCTACTACGGCTCCGGCCTGAATGCCGGCCAGTGCGGCGTCAGCATTGAGCGAGTTAAGGCCAGCAACAATGGCCAGGTCAAGTGCAGTCTGGGCGTCGAGGGCGAGGAGCTATCCGGCACCATAGATCTGGTTGTGGCATGTAAGTCAACCGCATATCAATTTCATGTTTCTCAATTTTCACTCAGGCCTAATTGATTCCCAATTGTTAGCCCGTTCACCTCACCTGTTCCACAGCTCATTCATGTCTATTTTTTGTTCGACTCCCTTTGCAGTGCGCCCGCAGCAGCCCATTATTGAGCTCATCTCGAAGCCCAACCGCGATGGCTTCTTCTCGGAGAACACCGAATTCCATGCCCGTTGCAGTGTGCGCGACGGCCGTCCGGCTGCCAACATTTCCTGGTACATCGACAACATGCCCGCCAACAAGCGCACCAGTCCGCTGCAGGTTGTGGCCACGCCCACCCACGATAATGTCGAGCTGTCCACCTCAGTGCAGGACATCCAGTGGCCACTGACAGCGGATGACAGCAATCGCAAATTGGTCTGCCGTTCACATCATCAAACCGATCGCGAGAGTGTACCGCCCCAGGAGGCCGCCTACATCATCAACGTGCGATGTGAGTAGCTGCCAGGG